CGCAAGCCCTCAACAAACCACTCGCAGCGTCTTTCTCTATCGAAATCACTTCAGCCGCAAAATGACTTAACTTGTTGAACTCACAGTCATACTCATACACAGTTCGGTTCATTTGCTTCAAGTTCAAGAATTCTTGTTTCATCTATTTAATTAATTGATCTCCTATGTATTTTTGCTTAAACTCTTCAAGAAATAGAGACTATAGTACTTGGTCACTTGTCATCCTAAATGTGACATCCGTCCACTAGATTCTCGCTTGCCCACGAAGCAAGGAGACCACTCCGTCTAACTTCTCCGCATCAGAACACTAGAGTCCCTCTAACATGATCTTTACATCATTGAGCCAAAGGTCCGCAGCAACAGAACCTTCCTAGGCTTCGTTTTTTATCTCAGGAGCTCCTAGTCCCTTCAACTCCTTCGCAACATTCATTCTTTAAGTTGAGGAGGGAGGAGGTTGGAAACGCGTCAAGATGGAGTCCAACATCCTGAAGAAGATGATTTGATCTTGTACTAGCACTCCAGAAGGTGCCCGTTCATCACCTTGCCTGGCCAGGGTAGGTGAATTACTAGTCTCAGCTAATCTATCATCTTTCGCTTCACTTCGGGAGCTACCTTGTCCGGACATCTAATAAAATATAACCAAACAACTTTATTAGCATAACAACATACTTATTATTCTTATCAGATCAGAAGTTCTTACTATTATGTTGGCATGTACACATATAAAGACACTTTAGACTCCAGTTTATGCCTAGAATCGGCTAAACCATAGCTCTGATACCAATAAATGTAAAACCCCTAACCCGTACCCGAGCCGGATATGAATCTGAGGTATCACATTAACTTTTCAAAATATATACATTTACAAAAACTATCAAAAATTTAAACTTTCATTAATATAAAGTTAATTATTTGCATCAAAATGTTTAAAATATTACCAAAATCGATTAGAGTATACGTAAATTACACTTTTCTACATGCCAACACTTCTAATACAACAAAAGTACATACTACGAATTTACTTCTGATCTTCGAGTGGATGTATGTTATCCTGCTGATCCTAAGCTCGATCGTCTTTCTTTTCAGTACCTACGTGTAAAACACTTACACGCTAAGTCATAGACTTATTGAGACATAAAACTCTAACAATACATTTTCTATAAATATGAACATGTAATCTAACTATCCAAATGCAAGGATATTTATCATCTCATGATTCACTGATGTCATATATGATTCAATATAACAATAATAACATGTTAACATATACTCATGTATATATTCTTCATATCGTTTATAAGCCCATGTGCATTATTGAGAACTCAAGGTATATGATACTTTGAGGTTGTACACACATATGCTGTCACCACATATCGTATAAAAATACACTGAGTGGCATGTGAAATCTACGTCCCGAAGGACGTCATCTATGTCCCGAAGGACCTATTCATAGGTTCCGAATAACCTAGGTAACCCTCGACTCTTGGCATGCCAACTATACCTATAGCTCTCATATCATATAACATGGGCACTATCATTATGTTTCATATATTGATATATTCATATCATTTCTCTTATGATAACATATATCTTTTCTTCTGTCACATATCACATGTATGTGTAATCATTAATCTTATATCATATAACATATTTTATTCAAGTATATTAACATGAATTAAATCATGTAAACATATATAACCCATGCACGTATCTATATATATATTGATTATAACATATGCATGTCCATAACTACTGTACCATGAAAACTAATATAGGAAATAGACTTATCACAAGTCTTATTTCCATTGGACTACACCTATAGTATGCACTCACCTTAGCCTCACTTAATTTCCAAATCCACCTCTATGATTTCATTTTTTTGGATCGAATCCTAACTTGGTGGTCGTTTCGGAATTTTCTTGTGCTCGATATCTACACAATCATACAGTCTAATTACTATAATTCGATCCTTAATCTCTTAAGCTAAAAAAAGATTTAAATTTTCATTTCCATTTAAAGTATTATCGGTACCCCCATAGGGTATCGATACTTCCTTAATTGTTGTATCGAACTACACCGGGTATCGATACCCATTTTGAATTCGGTGTTTTTGTTTCAAAAATGGTACATGTATTGTCCTTATGGTATCAGTACCCTTGGTATCGATACTACCATCCCGGGTATCGATACCCCATAAATATCTTGGTTATGTTAGGCTTATGGTATTGATACTTGTTGATACCCCTGTACCAAAAGTCATTCTTTCATTCTTGAAGTATCGGTACTGGATGAAGCAGTACCAATACTCAAGCACAAATTTTCACATTTTGACCCCGAACATTTACTCATTTCAACTCAAATCCTTCATGTCATAACCCCTTTAATACTCTTAACTCAAGTATATATACACAAACCAATTCCTATACATTTAACACCTCTTTATCTTCAAAATCTCATTCTCTATATGAAAATCAAGAATCATACCAAATTTTCAACATGTTCTAATTCCAATTATATCACTTCATATCTCTTAATTCAACTATTGACAAGTCAAATTTAGTTTCAAAATCCACTTATCAACTCTTTCCTAAGATTTCATTTAAAAATTTCTTATCTTTAATCTCTCCTAACTCCTTTATCTTTTAACTTGAAGATAACTTAAGTTTTCCTTAAGCTTAAGTATCATATAAGGATCATAAACAATTCTTAAATTCAGTAAATAATCAACTAACAAGAAAATTCACCTTCGCTATTAAGGTTCGCGGCTGAAGAAGAAGAAAAAAAACATTTTCTGGATATTTTCTTTCTCTTTTCCTCCCATCTCCACGTGTATATATATCTTCCATATCTCAATTTTTAATTTATTTTCTCCTCAAATGACCATTTTACCCTTTTATTACTCCTTCTTTGCTATTTAGTCCTATACAAAATTTACAATATAAGTCCCTAAACTATTCAATTAATCTACTTTAACCAAAAAATTATAAAATTTTAAAATTTGGCCACTAACCCGGTATTGAGGATGTTACATAACATCACACCTTACTATAATAGAAAATTCAACATGCACACACAATTCTCAACACTCATGCAGTGCATTACTTCGCACACTTTCAACCTTATTAGCTAGCAGTATCGGATGCGACCATATTAACCGAGGTATGTTCTTCGGGGAAGCCGAATTATTGGGCCTTGGAGGTGGATCAATTTCACTCATTGGTTAATTGTGTGGTCAAACGGGTGGTGCAATTAGCGACTTTTTAGTGGGTCGGGGCACCGATGCATCCGGGTCATTGGTATTTGGTTGTGGAACGATGCCCGTCGGGGCTTCATAGGTCCCTTGACTACGTAATTCATGGGACCCGAGTTTTAAATTTTTTGGGGTTTTGGGTCTCAGAGATGGAGGTATTCGAGTTCCAATATCTGAAGAAATTTTTTAACTCAATGAATTAGGGTACGGAGGAGTTATTATGGACACTGGTACAGCTGTGACAAGATTCTCCACTTCAGCTTACAATGTCTTCCACAATGTTTTTATCTTACGAACGTCTAACCTTCCCCGTGCCAAGGGAGTGTCCATATTCGATACATGTTATAACCTATCGGGTTTCATCTCGGTTCGAGTTTCTACAATATCGTTCTATTTCTCAAGTGGGGCAACCCTAACCCTACCCACAAGGAACTTTCTTATCCCCTTTGATAATATGAGAACATTTTGTTTTGCATTTGCCTCTTCTGGTTTAGGAATTTCAATAATATGGAACATCCAACAAGAGGGGATCCAAATTTCGTTTGAAGGAGCCAATGGGTTCGTGGGGTTTGGCCCCAATGTTTGCTAAGTCAAATGTCATGATCTTGATTTAAGTTTTACCTTTTTTTCTCCTAGTGTAAATAAAGTTATATATTTTCCTAAAAATTTATATGTAATTTTGTGTAAAGAGGAAGCTAAGGGTGTGTGACAAGAGAACGAGTGAAATGTACCCCCAAGACGGCCAAAAAGAACCATAGGAAATATATGTTTTATTTTGATGTTAGAGCATTCTTTTACATGAGATGAGAGCACCCTTCCACTTTTACATTGTGCATATCAATTTCTCATTCTAGTTAATGATATCAAAAATTAATTTAACATTGAATTTTGAGTGACATTAATTATAAAATGGATTATTATTCTTTTTTAGAGATATTAAGTTTAAATAATTATATTTAGAGGGTGTGTATAATATTAATGATTAAAAAACATTTTGAATAAATATTATCTTATAATCATATTAATCTATAAAAAAATTAATTTAAACTAACTAATTGACATGTGAAGACATTGGAGAGTGGAGGTAAGGTGGCACTTTCTATAGCAAAGTGTAAGTCTGGTTATCTTGGAAAAGCTATCAGGGATTGGACCTGAAATAAGCTTCATCCCACTTATGAGGCAAACAACCCAGAAAAGAAGAGGGGGTACCTGAGAATATTAGGAAAAACCACCACACTTGTTAGTGGTGAGAAATTGCATATATATATTCAATTACATAGTGTATAACTTAATTACACACAAAGATATGATTACAAAATAAATGGAAAGAATAAGCTAAACAAACTCCTATAATTGAGGGTCAATGGTTACAAATGGAATGCATTAGATTAGGGTAGAGGATCCTCAACACCCACCCCGCAAGCTAAGCGTCGGATTGGAATAGATGTGTAGCTTGGATCTAAAAAATTGAAAGAGAGGCCTAGATACACTTTTGGTGAAGATATCAACAATCTGCAAGTGTGAGGGTACATATTGTGTCCAAAGTTTGCCAACAAGAACAAGTTCGCGAAGAAAATGGTAGTCTAATTCAACATGCTTGGCCCGCTTATGAGAAATAGGATTGGAGCTAAAAAAATGGCACTTTTTTGTCGCATAATAGGAGAGGCCACTGTGGAAGAGAAACTTTGAGATCACGAAGGAGATGCATAAGCCAAAGAAGTTTTGTGGCAGTGATAGCAAGGGCATGATATTATTCAGACTCACAGTTGGAACGAGAAACGGTAGGTTGCTTCTTGGCACTCCAGGAAACCAAATTGTCACCAAGGTAAATGGAATAACCAGAGGTAGAGAGACGAGTGTCAGGACATCCTGCATAGTCAGCATCAGAGTAAGCAACTAAAGTACCGGAAAAAACAGATTGATGAAAAGAGAGGCCAAAATGCAGTGTTCCCTTGACATAGCGAAGAATGCGTTTGACAGCAAGAATGTGGTCATCAGTCGGAGAGTGTAGAACTTAACAGACAAAGTTGATAGCACGAGTAATATTAGGACGTGTGATGATTAAATACTGAAGAGTACCAACAAGAGATTGATAAAGAGTAAGATTCGAAAATAGAGAACCATCATAAGATAGGTGTTGGGAAACAACCATCGAAGTGTGAACAGGCTTGCTATCAAGTAATTGAGCACGACTAAGAGTACCGCGTGCATATTTCAGCTGAGTGAGAAAAAGGCCATCAGTGGTTGGTGTGGCTTCAAGACTAAAGAAGTTACTGAGAGAACCCAAATCCTTAGTAGCGAACTCAGAGTGAAGCTTACGAGTAAAGCTGTCAAGAAGAGAGGAATTATTGCATGTAATAACAATTTTATCAACATAAAGCAACAAATAAATGATGTCGGATTACCTGTGAAAGATAAAGAGTGATGTATCCGTACAACTGCAAAAAAAAAAATCAAGGTGAATGAGAAATGAACTGAATCGCTGAAACCAGGCACGGGGTACTTACTTGAGGCCATAAAGAGCTTTCTTCAACTGATAAACATAATCATATATGCTCTGATCGATATACCCTAGAGGTTGTTCCATATAGACTTGTTCACTAAGGTGACCATTGAGGAAGGCATTTTAGACATCAAGTTGGCAGAGAGGCCATCGGTTAGTCACCGCATGGAGCCCACAATGTTGGTATTGGCATAGCGAGGGACCAAAATCCAGGTACGATTATTTTTGCAAAGCTTGAATTTCTTCATCCATGGCGGCAATCCAAGTAGGATTCTTGGTAGCTGATTTGAACCCTTTAGGCTCGTGGATGCCAGAAGAGCAGAGAGAAGGCCAGAGGATCCCAAGACAGCAAGATTTGCCGGGTGGTGAGGTTTGAAAATACCAGCCTTGGCTCGTGTGAGTATAGGATAAGAACCTATCGGAATGGCAGTAACAAGAACACCAGAGGGCAACTCAGTAGACTCAATAGAAGGTGAGCTAGAATCTAAGGACTGTAGAGATAAACCTGCAAGAGAATCATGGGCCTGTAAAGACTTATCCATGGGATCAGTACAAAGAATACTTGAACGGGATCCAGATTTAGTAATATACTAGGAATGGGGTGCAGGAAAAGGTGGGCTTATGGTGGTGGGAGGAAGACTTGGTTCCATAAAATTTGAAAGTGGAGGGAGGATAATGGTTGAGCCTGAGAGGTATCCAGAGAGGGAAAATGAAGCATGGCGGGTGATATATAGCTTAGAGGTAGTGGGATCAAGACAACGAAACCCTTTATAAGAAGAGTTGTATCCCATAAAAATCCAAGGAATACTACAAGGGGAAAATTTATTAGGCATGTAATCACGTAAACAGGGATAAACACGACAACCAAATGGGTGAAAATTTTCATAATTTGGAGGGGAACTGTATAGAAGCTCAAAAGGGGACTTACCTCCGAGAAGTGGCGTGAGAAAACAATTGATGATGTAAGTCGCAATGCTAAAGGCGTCAACCCAAAAACGAGGAGAAGTGTGAGAGTGGAAAAGTATAGCCAAAATAGTTTCAGTCACATGACGATGTTTTCGTTCAGCGTGACCATTTTGGGCGAGAGGATATGGACAAGATAGTTGATGATGAATGCCAGAAGTACAAAAGTGTTTTAAAGCAGTTACTAGTAAATTCTGCACCACTGTCACTTTGAAAAATTTTGATACGAGCAGAATATTGATTTTCCACAAAATTTTGAAATTGAATAAAAGTAGCATAGAAGTTAGATTTCAATTTCAATGGATAAAACCAAGTGAAGTGAGAATAATCATCGATAAATAAAACATAGTAAACAAAACCCAAATTGGATTTTAATGGTGAAGAACCCCATATGTCACAGTGAATAAGATCTAACACATTGGACGACCTATTTTCATTACAAGAATAAGGCAAACGATGACTTTTTGCAAGTTGGCATGTATCGCATAATTTAGGAGATGGCAATAAAGAGGTAAGATAAAGTTGTCCTTTTTTATTTAATAAAGAAATAACAGAATAATTCACATGACCCAAATGAGCATGCCATAAATCATACGAAGAATGAAGAGATTTATTTTTATGGACAGAAATAAAAGCGAAATTCTTGCGCTCTATCACATATAAGTCGTTATCACGTTTACCGGTTGCCACCTACTTTCCTATTTGGCGATTCTGAATAGTAAAAAAATCATTAGTAAAAGTAATGGATAAAGGAAAATCATTCATTAGTTTACTAATGGACAAAATATTTTTAGTGAGATGGGGAACAACCAAAACATCCAATAATTGAATATCCGGAAGAGGGGAAATTTTACCGGTATAGGTAATGGGTAGAGACACACCATTCCCTACAATTACAGAATTCTTACCCGTGTAAGTGGAAGACTGATCCAAGGTAGAGTGGGCTGGAGTCATATAGGTTGAAGCCCCTGTATCCAAAAATCAATCAGAAGCCTCACTTTCGAATAAAGAGCAGGAATATGTCAAAGCCTTTACAAGGTGTGTCGTGGATTCAGGCTGAGCATACCGCTGCCTACACCAATCGGCAAAGTGTCTTTCCTGCCGGCAAATCTGGCATCGTGGTTGACGGCGACCATAGGTGGCGTTGGCATGGCCCTGTCCGTGACTGGAGTTGTTGCGCTGGACATTTCTACGACCATGGTGTGGGCGAGAACCACCTCCACGATGAGAAGAGTTTCGGGTAGCAGTAAACGCAGCAGTTGAGGACGCTGGAGTCTCTAGAGATTTTTGAAAAATTTCACAACTCTCTGCTTTAAACACAAGATCAGAAAAAAGGGGAGGAGGTTTGTGCCATCTGGGCAATGGAGAAGCCGGAGAAATCGAGACCGAGACCACGCAATAAATAATGATCACACAAAGTTTTGAATTTACGGGCAAAGGCAGTAACAGAACGAGTGCCGCATTTCATCAATTGGAGGTCATCTTTGAGGCGAAGTTCACGGGCTTTGAAGCGGTGGCTGAAGGTATTTTCGAGGGCAGTCCAGACCTCACGGGATGTAGAGAGGCCAACGGCTTCAGCCATTGCTTCCTCGGTAAGGGACAAGAGGAGAAGAATAAGGAGGCATTGGTTGGTTGCTTTCCACGCCAGGTGTTTGTTATTTGGCGTCTGAGAGGTGGGAGGATCAAATAAAGGTGGCGGCACAAGGGTGCCATCGACGTGACCCAGTAAACCTTGGCTTTCAAGGTGGGGAAGGAGTTGGCTCTTCCATAGAAGATAGTTTGAGGAGGAGAGCTTGATGGTAACCATGTGGATCATGGTGTTGAAGGGAAGGAGGGTGGGAGAAGAATCGGGAGAGGAATTAGCCATTGAGGATCGTGAGATGCTAATCCAGGTAGGCTCTAAATACCATGATAATATTAGGAAAAACCACCACACTTGTTAGTGATGAGAAATTGCATATATATATTCAATTACATAGTGTATAACTTAATTACATTTTGTATAACTTAAACAAGCTCCTATAATTGAGGGTCAATGGTTACGTATGGAATGCCGTAGATTAGGGTAGAGGATCCTCAACAGTACCTTCATGTAGAGGGTATCATCCGTTGCAGAGCCAATGTAGTTACCCTCCACGCTGGATTACATTCAACACCTTCCCGATCTCCACAGCAAGCGGTTCCAATCCATGAAGAGAGACTCTCTGTTGTGCCTTGACGATTTTGGCTTTGAAACCGAGCAGAATCTGCATTTTGGAAGATGGGTCTTGGTCTAAACACATGAATTTGTTGAAGATATATAGGGTTTTCCACTGATGCATTCACAAAGAGGGATTGTGACCGTTTGATGAATCACGCGAATCCTAATTTCAATTTGAACGTTGGAGCGCGACTCATTCAAAAACCTCCTTCACCTTTTTGGTAAATCAATTTGGCTTAAAGTCCATGGCTTCATACTGTGTATATAATATGTTTTCCTCGTCCGCCATTAATACTCCTGAATAAGGGCTCGCCTCTTGACTCTTGCCCTTCATGTTTTCACTCCTCACATGTTTAAACAAACCGTTCAACGTCGTCTCGGATTTATCCTAGTTGATTCCTGTAGGTACAAGTATTGTTTTAGTCCTTCTACTTTGCTGAAATTTAAAATTTAATCTATATTTTAATTTGACAAAAAAAATACTAGCTATTTTAATAATGGCAGTAATAGATCCAAAGTAATAATATTATTTGTTGTCATCAAGGTGATAGATAGGGCTATAAACGAGCAAAGTCGAGTTCAAGTATTTTTAAACTCGACTCCACTCAACTTGAAAACTCAAAGACGGAGTTCAGCTCAACTCGAAAACTCGCGAGCCTAAAATTTTCAAGTTCAACTTAAAACCATGAATTGAAGCTTGGAAAAGCTCAAAATGAAAAAAAATCTTAAACTTGATTCAATTGAAGCTCGAACTTAAATATTAAATATATGAAAATCTTATACTTTATTTTAAAAAAAATCAACACATAAATGTTAATATTATTAATAATTTGTTTAAAAAATTAAAATCTTAATATATTATATTTTTGGGTTGCTCGCAAACTTTTCAAGTCGAGTATCAAGTAGCTCGTTTTGGCTCGTTATGAACTCGAGTCGAGCTTGAGTTATAGTCGAGTATTTATTAAGATTTGACCGAATCGATATCGAATAGCTCACGATCTATCTCGTCTCATTTATCGTCGTTGCGATCACGATAACTTGTAATGTTATCAACATGGAACTCCTAGCATTATAAAAATAGATGACCAAATTTATGTAAAATTAAAATAATAGAATACAAGAGGGCTGAAACTATAATTACACCATTAAAGCAATCATGGTAAAAGTTGAAAATGTCACTATTTGTGAACTACTCGCAATCAAACTATTATTGATTGCTTACTCGAGAATCAACGTTTCAAAAGTTTGACAAAGGTAATTATTGTTATATCAATAACCACTAATACGTCTATATGGTTTAAGTAAAGTAAGAAATTAAATTTTAACATTATAAATGAAATAAATTAAATTAAAAACGAATTACTAAAATGACAAATGCAATTATAGTTAATGGACTTGGTTTTCAACTTTTTACATCATTTCCTGTCAAGCTTTTGGTAGAAACGAAGCAAATGCAAGCTGGGAACCCAACCCACGGAATTAAGTTTGATATTTTAGAATTTGACTAAACTACTTGTATTAATAAAATATTAAGATGTGTCTTGATTTAATGAGGCTAGATATTAAATATTAAGAAATTTGGAAATATAATGTTTACGAGTTTATGATTTATAAGTTTAAAATTTACAATTAAAATTATTTTATATTTTACATTACATAAAAATGAATATTTTATATTTAAATAGTGAAAAATAATAAAGTACTATATAAAGGGGAGGTTAAACAAGATTTTGACCCATAAAATAGTTCCTTATCACTTATTTGAAGAATTTTTTGGTTCAATAACTTTCTTTACATGAAGTACTGTCTTATCACATTTCTGCCTTTAGTTACAAAAGTTTCACGTAACACATTAGGAACTTGTTATTTAAAATAGGGTAAAATACACCAATGATCACTAATGTTTGATTACGTTTTTATTTTCCTACTGAAGTTTAATTGGTCTCTAACGTTATCAATTTATAATAAAATGGTCACTCCATTGTTATCTCCGTTAAATTGATGATGAGACAATGCTAATAAAAATGTTAATATTCAATTTAATCCCTTAAACTAATGTTAAAACATCAAATAAGTCATTGAACAATGATTTTATATCAAATTTATCCCAAAACTTTTTAATTTGAAAATAGAAGAGATTATATCCACCCTTATCGGACAAAAACAACAACATTTAGCTAACACCAAGAATTATGAGAAAAAGTGAAGAAAGTTTATGATTGTTTCTTCGCCAGCAATTGAGTTCGTTGTAGTTATGGTTGTTATACCCAAAATAGAAGTGGATATTACATACAAAATTGTTCTAATTGCAACTGTGTACAATTAATAATACAAAAATAAAGAACTATCAGAGCAATGTCAAGAGTTTAAACATTCAAT